CTTGCCTCCTAGTTTGTCTACAAGATAGTGTGCTAGCTTTCTGGAAACATGGGATGCAAGGTAGAAGTTTTAGATCCAACGAGGTAAGTAATCTTTGTTAAATTATGGCATCAAATTGTCACAAGACAGTATTGAATTCTCCAAACAGTTCCCCTTAACTTTGGAGTATTCCTAAATGGTTCAAGTAACACTTGACTTACCAACTTTACTGGTGCTGTATTCAGTCGTGATAAATCAGTAGTGCAAGCTTCACAGCCACCTCTTTGTTCCTGTTATTCAGAACAAGGTCAGTGGGACCAGCAGTTAGCGTAATGGCTATGTCGCTGGACTCTCCCACGTAGTCAACTGCGGTTCAAGTCCTGGACCTGGCGGCTTAAACTCACGCCGGGCACGTGTGCATGCGTGCCCAAGATCCCAAGAGGAGAATGGAGGAGAAGGGATTGTGGTGTGCCATCCCCCCTGGGGGGTGATTTCTCGCTTTCTCTGTCTCTCTCTCTCTTTCTCTGTCTTTCTGGCAAGCGCATGTGCCATATAGCGAAAACCTCTCCCCAAAAAAAAAGGAAAAAAAAAAAAGAAAAAAAAACCCAAGGTCAGTGCACATTCAGCGTGCTTCCAGGGGAATAGCCTTCAAATTCCTAATGCTGCTAAAAATGAACCAGTTGTGATTTTCTTTCAACTTTCCCAGACCGTAACCTGGAACAGGAGTGCCAATACGGACTCTCTCTGTCCTGAGACATCTTTTCTGCCTTGTAGCTCAGAAATAGTGACCTACACAAGCTAGAAGGAAATGGCTCCACATTTCTCTCGATGCCAACCTGCCTCCTATTTCTGATATCCTTATTCACTTGACATTATAAGATTCTCTGTCCCTTTTCCATTCCCCTTTTATTAACCTTTACAAGAGTAATTTAATTCCAAGCCATGTGATAAATTCCACTCAGTTCCACATTTGTGCCAGTGTGTCCTGGCGTACAAACAGGAACCAAACCTGTTACTTGCCCCCTAGAATGTCATAGGCAAAGAACATTATCCAGAATTCTTCCAGTACCACCACACCAATTTAAATAGTATAACTCGTACTTGATCATTGGAAGGAAAGGAGAAATTCAGGTGCCTCAAGTTAGAAAATGGCCCATTAGTGTCCTAGGCTGGTAAGCCTAGAGGCTTTCTTTTAGCAGTCGTGCGTTCTGGAATTGAGACACCAGGTTCAAGTCTCAGCCTTGCTAGTAGATCACTGTGTGACCTCACCATGTCTCTTCTTCTGTAATTTTAAATCTCTGAACTGAGAGTTAAGTTTAAATGAAATGAAGCATGGGAAGTGCTTGGCCTGGTGCCTAGCCTGTAGTGAATGATGAAGAAAGGTCGCAGCCTGTGTGTTTCAAGCAGTAATTCCCACAAGCCGGCTCAGAGGGAATGGAGGGCGGAGACTAAGTCAATGGCCAGTAATAGTTTCAGAAAGTAAGGCACCATAGGCAAGACAGAGAGAATGGCTTTAAATAAAAAGGAAAGGAAAGCTTGCCCAAGAATCACCAGAGGGGCTTTTCAGACTACACAGGCAGCTCTTCAGGGTAACACATCTAACCTGTTATAGCCTTAGAGTAGGCATCCCCAAAACGCACTGGAAATCCCAGCCCTGGTGAGCCGCTGGTACTGACGTGAGCATGAAGTTTCCTTCGGGTGTGCTGAGTTACAACAGGAATAAATCACTATAGTGTTTCCAGAATACTTAATTGTTAGAGGTATGGATGGAGTAAATTTAATTTTCAAATCAGATTGCTTTTTTTCAGCCAGCAGTTGGGGCAGGAGTAATTACTGCCATTATAATCTAGGGACCTTCATGTTCAGTAAGCTGTGAACAGTGGATCTGTCTCCTGTAGACTTGTTCTTAACTCTCCAGCTGGTAATTGGTCACCCTGAGGTCTTCTGGAAGGATATACATCACCAGAAAATGTTGTTTCAAGAGAATGAGGAAGAAGTGGAAAGGATAATTACTATGTTTGGAGCAGCTAGGCATTATACCTGCTAATACTTGTAAGAACACTGCAGGGCACTACTACAAAGTAGATCTTGTCTTTTCCATTTTGCAGAGACAAACCCATTTCCAACAGATTTGTCCAGTGTCACAGCTAGAAAGTGAGAAGACTGAGATTCGAATGGAAGTCATGTCCGGATTTTAAGTATTTCCGTTGTATCACACAGCAGCCTTTTAAGTGAAAGAATCAGATTGATGTGGCTTTCTAGTGGTGCCAGTGTAGTCAGCAGGGGTGTATTTTCATCTAAGGAATTAGGTTCCTTTTCTCTAGAGCTGTAATCAAACACCTATTTAAAATTTTGTGTCTTTAATTTCAGAAATTAAATGTGTATTTTAATTGAACAGGTAACGCAAGAAATTTCAGATAGCACAAGAATTTTCAGACTGCTTGGATCTGACAGGTATGAAAACAGCTTAGAGTATCAAATGTGTTTTATAAATCCACCATGAGACTTGCTTCTTCTTCAAGAGATTTGACATTTTTGCAATAATATGTTCAACATTATCATTTTCACACTATAAGAATTCACAAGTCAGAAAATTATAAAGCCTTTGAAAATGTACCTCATCTTCCAAGTACTTGGAATTTACAGATCTGTCAGTAATATTTTCCATTAAAGGTACGATCTAAAGTCTGATTTCCAGCAGAAGAAAGAACTGCCATGTGTTAACAGAGCTTTTTGTTTGGGGTGCTGACTAAGATTTGGGGAGTTCTACCCTGATTTACCTTCTGATTTGTTGAATTACAAGTTTGTTTTAGAATTTGTAAAAATGAAGTTCCCTCAGACTATTCCAGATAGAAGTTTCGCATTCCCCAGCCTCTCTGCTTTTAAAAGAACACTGGCTTAGCTCAGGTGGGAGGTAGTGGGCAGGAAAATCACTTCTCATAGCTAGAGCTGGCCTTTTAATCATAGTGATAGCAAATTATTTCTGCCCACAAATCAAATAAGCAGCATTTATAGAGGCATGTAATGGAGAAGCAATGGGAAATATTTCTAATACCATTCGTTTTCAGAAATAACTTTTGTTTCATTTTATGTTTTTTTGTTTATTATTTCTAGGGTCGTGGTTTTGGAAAGTAGGCCAACTGATAACCCTACAGCAAATAGCAATTTATACATCCTGGCGGGTCATGAAAACAGTTACTGAGAATTGCGGCTTTGGCAGTTAACTGTACAAAGAAAGAACACTACCACTTGCAACATGAATGGATGCTTTGAAGCTGTACAAAAGCTGCAGTAACCTGGCTTCAGTTACTTTGTAATTTATTGTGGCATGAGACAAGATGGGGAAAATTTTTGTTTTAAGTGGTATGGATATATTTAGCATATTGAACCACACAAGTGCTTAAATTCATTGTTATGTAATCTTTGTACATATAGGCAGTATTTTTCTGTGAAACTTCATATTGCTGAAGATATACACTAAGGATTTCTGTAGATAATGTACTTTTATGAGATGTACAAGTAAGTGTCTTATCTGTACAGATGTAAATGTTGATGAAAATGCAACGGGGGTTAATATTTTAAGAACTCTTTAGTATATTCTCGGGTGTGGTTATATCACAAAATGGGATGCTGGCAATGAAACAAAACATTTAACACTATTGTATTTTTACTATATGTAATTTAGTAATATGAATATAAATCTTGTACTTTTAAAATTGTATTGGAGGCTGTAATCATTTTATAATCTTGTTTTTAATTTTAATGCAAGTACACTGGTGTTTCTATTTGCACAAAGTATTAATATGTGATGTATTAAGTCACAAAAGTAAGCTGTGACATTGTCGAAATGCATTTGGCTCCACATCATCTTTTTTAAATGTATTCGGATTGTTTTCTATGTGAAGCAAATCAATTAACCACCTGTTGTAGTAACTGGTCTTTTTATATTTAAGGAAAATCCTGTAAGATTGCTTGTCTGTGCTCAAGAACCAGTACCTTTAAAAAAAAAAAAAAATTGAATCACAGAATAGCGGTACTGTGATATAACACTGCAATTAATTGTCTGAATTTCAGTATGCACAAACAATAAGTTAGCATTATTAAAGAGTCCACAATAAACATTTCATATGATCACAGTGAAGAACTGTAACATTCCGTAGAGTGAAGTGGTTCAAATTTCTATTGGAATTTTTACTTTTGTTGGCCTTATTTTATGATCATTTTCATATTTCTTTTGATTTAGAGTATTAACACATGGCCAAAATAATTTAGTTACTACCTCATACAAACAATATAATGGTTACTACACATCACAGGAACTTAGTTTTGGTTAAAGTCATTTTGATTGCTTTTTTCCAATGGAATATGTATATATCAAGTTTTAGAAAAATGCACACTTTGGCTCCTTTTGGTATATGTCCTTTATATTTTAATGTGAGTATATACACTAAGAACAAACTAAATTGTGATTTAGGGTCTTCACTTATTTTAATTGATAATGATTTTAAATATGTTCCTGATTGTACATAATGTAAAATAAACATGTTTTTTAACATGCTGTTGTATAGTAGCTTGTCATCTGGCTTCATCTGTACATAAGTAACATTAAAGTGTACTAAGAGGGAAACCTTTAGTTTTTCTGCACTTAAATCTTTAAGTACCCAATTCTGGTCCCTCAAATCATAATTTTTTATTTTGATCTGTGATTACAATTTCACGGAACAGTAATATTCACACACTGAAGGGGAAAAGCATCTTTTGTAGAATCTTCAACTTCCCAATTAGGAAAATCAGTTAAACACTGAGAATATTTTGGTTAGAGAATGAGTCAGCAAACTACAGTCCTCAGCCTAATCTAGCCAGTCGCCTGTCTTTGCAAATAAAGTTTTATTGGAACACAACACCACATATTTACCTGTTGTCTGTGGCTGCCTTTGTGCTGTAATATTAGAGTTGGGTGGTTTAAAAACTAAAACAAAACTATGGCCTGCAAAGCTAAAATGTTTACTGTCTAACCCTTACAGAAAAAAAAGTGCCGATTTCCAGGTTAGAGCAAGGAAAAGAGTGCTGTGGATGCAGTTCTGCAGGTAAGAAAGGAGAAGACTAAGTGGGAAGAACTGGGCTGGGGTCAGTGGGCACCGTTCTCACTACTGTTCATGCCGTTGCCTGCCACTAAGGTCTTGAACAATTGAGAACAGTTTTCTTATCTAGAAGAATAGTGGGACCGGCAGGTGGCGTGGTGGTTGAAGACACTATGCTCCTCCCGCGTGGCCAGCTGCTGTTCAAGTCCCAGACCTGGCTCATTGCTTGCTTGTGCACTCTTTCTCTCTCTCTGTCTCGACAAAATTGAAAAATAATGATAATAAATAAATAATTTTTTAAAAATAATGTTACAATAGCTATTACCCATAGCACTTTTCCTAAACATTGTGAATAATATAAACACTAATGACTGTTTTAAACTATGTCTTGGGACCAGCAGATAGCATAATGGTTAGGATGCTAGACTCCCACATAGTTGACGATAGTTCAAATCCTGGACCCAGCTGCTTAAAACTCGTGCCAAGTGCATGTCTATGCATGCCCAAAATCCGGAGAGGAAAATGGAAAAGAAGGGTTGTGGTGTAGCCATCCCTTCCAGGAGTAATTTCTCACTTTCTGTCTCTCTGGTGAGTGTCGCTGGACTCCCATGTAGTCAACAGCGGTTCAAGTCCCAGACCCGGTGGCTTAAACTCAAACCGGGCATGTGTACATGCATGCCCCAGATCCCAAGAGGAAAATGGAGGAGAAGGGATTGCGGCATGGCCATCCCCTCTGGGGGGTGATTTCTCACTTTCTAGCTCTCTGTCTCTCTCTATCTTTCTGGCGAGTGCACGCGCCCTAGCGAAAACCTTTCCCAAAAAAAAGTTTGTGTAATAATGTGTCTAAAATTATTAGACCTTAAAAATCCTTACATGCTTATACTTCCTTTGGGGGAGGAAAAAAAAACAAAAACAAAAACATGCCAGGCACATGTGCATTTGTGTCCAAAATCCCAAGAGGGGAATGGAAGAGAAAGGATTGTGGTGTAGCCATCTCCCCAGGGGGTGATTTCTTACTTTCTGCCTCTCTCTTTCTAGCAAATGAATATGCCCTATAGCAAAAATCTCTCTAAAAGAACTTGGGGCAGCAGGTGGTATGGTGGTTAAGGGCACTGGGCTCTCATATGGCTGACCACAGTTTAAGTCTCAGACTGAGCGGCTTCCTTTCCTATTTCTCTATCTCTCTATTGTTAGCACATATAGCAAACGTATGAAAATAATAAGGAACCAGCAGGTGGCATAATGGTTACGTCGCTGGACTTCCACATATTCAACCGTAGTTCAAGTCCCGAACCAGACAACTTAAAGCTTCCATCGGGCACATGTGCATGCGTGCCCAAAAATCCCAAGAGGAGAAGGGATTATGGTGTGGCCATCCTCGGGGGCAGGGGTGGTGATTTCTCACTTTCTGTCTGTCTCCAGCAAGAGCACACACCCTATAGCAAATATCTCTCAAATATAATAATAAATAAATGTTTTAATAAATAAAATGTCTTTATTGTTGATGTGACATAATCATCAGTTTGTTGAAAAATAAACTCTTGAGAAAGGTTTCCAAGAAATCAAGATTTCCTTCTCAGCATTTATATGAATGCTTTTGCTGGACTGCTGTTTTTTTCTCTAGTTTCCAAGACTTACATAGTCATCAGAAAATGTTAATCATGATATTTAACCACCAAGCACTTTGAAATTTTTTTAAAAATAAAGTATGCAGTTGGTGTGTATAACCCATGAGCATTTTTTCCTTTTAATTTTTTGCATAGAAAAATACATCATGACTTCCTTGACGAAAGTTTGCTATAGGATGAGGGCACTCACCAGAGAGCGAGGAAAAGTGAGAAATGACCCCCAAAGGGGGAATGGCTACACCACTATCTCTTCTCCATTTCTCCCCTTGGGATTTTAGGCATGCACGTACACTTGCCTGGCAGGTTTTTCAAGCCTCCAAGTCTAGGACTCTAACCATGTAACCAGCCACATGGGATTTAGCCACTTTAACCACCACACCACCAACTGCCCCACCCATGGGTTCTTTAAAGTAGATCCCTGGAATCTAGTCTTTAAGGGTGAGTCTCAGTAGCCTATATTTTGATAAAGTTAGACACATGGTTGTTTTTTCTTTTTAAAAAAAATTTTGCCAGAGAGCACATGCATTCATCAGAGAAAGAGAAAAAGAAAGTGAGAAAGCATCCCCCTCCCAGGAGCAATAGTACAAATTCTCCTCCCTTTCTCCCTCCTTTTGGGGTTTTGGGAATGCACACACACTCAGTGTGTTCAAGGTTTTGGGTCCAGGACTCCAACCCCACGTTCAGCCAGGTGGAACCCAGCACCCTAACCCACCAGGCCACAGGTTGGGCCCATGTAATTATATAAATATTTTTTTAATTTCAATTTATTTGCATTCATTCACTGTACATCATTACAGCATACAAAATGAGATTTTCCATCCAGAGTACACTGTATATTGTCTCAATCAAGCCTCCCCCACTGTCTCTGGTATCTATGTCTGCTTTCTATACTGTTTCCCCCCACATTTTATTGAATCACCAAAGACCCTAATCAATCCAAATACCATCATAGCAAACACAGATGACATACACATTTCCATGAACACAAGTCTAACTTTACGCATCCTATAAAGTAGCACCTAGCTGGGGCTACATATACTACTGCAGTCATTGAATAGATACATTTTTTTTTCCTGAAACTTTTTTTTTTTTGTAACTCAATTTTCATCCCTTCCCTAAGCATCATCACAACACACAAAATGTGATCTCCCATCCAGTACACACTGCATAGTGACTCAATCATGCACATTACAAAAAATTTTCCATTTCTAGTTCCTAGAAATATTTCCACTCCTCTTTCTGACCCTCTGTCCCTTCCCACCCTCCTCTCACACCACCTCCGGTGTCCACAATTGTCCTTCATTCCCTTCCCAACCACATTGCATTGATCACACAATTTCCTACATAATCTAACTACTTTCAATGGTGAGTTCACTCATTACTACTAAGAAAACCAGTATTTTTTTTTTAAGAGCGATTTTTGCTATAGGGCACATATGCTCACCAGAGAGACAGAGACAGCAAGAAAACACCACGACAGCAGGGATGGCCACACTACATTCCCTTCTCCACCATTCTCCTCTCAGGATTTTGTGCATGCTCGTGGTACACATGCCCAGCATGAGTTTCAAGCCACCAGATCTGGGACTCGAACCACAGTCGGCCATGGAGGAGTCCAGCAGTGCAAACATACCATTTGCTGATCCCCATATAATTCTTACATGTAGCCCTGCATGAGAACCACTGGCAGACATTAAATCAGTATTTCTGAGTGTGGTCCAAGGATCACCTGGCTCAGAAAGAATCATCTTTAATAACAATTTAAAATGTAAATTTCAGGGCCAACCGGTGGCATGATGGTTAAGGCACTGGACTCCCACATGGCGCCAACCATGGTTCAAGTCCTGGACCTGGTGACTTGCATTCTCTCTCTCTCTCTCTCTCTCTCTCTCTCTTTCTCTCGTGAGCACATGAGCTTTGTCACAAACTAAAAAGAATAATAATGATAAAATTAATTCCTTTAAAATGTAATTTCTAGGCTCTACTCAAGAACTGATTTTTATAGATTTTTATGCACTCAAAAAGAAGAGAGCCAGTCAAATGTTGGAATCTTATTTCATCTTCACTACATTTCATGCTCTCTTATTAGCTAATTGTGAGAACCCTGGTTTTAAGGAGCATAAGATCATTTGTTTATGGGCCTCTTGGTATCGATTACCTTTACAGATGTGTCTCAGGTTTATTGGGACCAGGAAATACTGGACAGAAATATTACATCCACTTTCACCATTACTGGTGGATGAAAGTTACGTGCTGTGCAGAGTAACGGGAGTGGGGCCGGCTCTGTGGTGCAGCGGTAAGCCCCTCTCAGAGAAGCTGGATCTCACATACATGGCCGCCATCGTTTGATGCCCTAGCCGGGTAGCCTGAAACCCACCAGGCATGGATCCAACTGGTTCCCGGGCTGGAGGAAGGTGATGCCTGACCAGTCCCTGTAAAGGTGCTTCCCTCCCTCCCTCCTCTTTGTCCCCACTCCCTGCCCCACTCTTAACGTGCTTGTACATCAGCTCTGTCATGAATAAAGAAAAAAATAAGAAGGGGAGAATAATGGGTAAATACTTGAAGGTAAGTAAGAATGTCCAATGCATGGGCTCTTCTGCATGCTTTATATAGTTCTCGGAAGCCCCAGAACATCCAAGAGGCAGGTATTGTTAACTCCATTATACAGATGAAAAACTGAGGCACAGAATGGTGCAGGATTTGCCGAAGACTGTAGCTAAGACGTGAACCTGAGCCCTTGATTTAGAATGTATTCTCTGAACCACTGTGCTAGACAATTACGTAGGATAAGTGCAGTCTATGCACTGCCCACTAAAATACACTCTAGCAGTTTTCCCTTAGAAACAAGTTATTTTGTTTCTCCATGCCTTGGAGTTCAATTTTTGATTTTCACTGTCTCAGCAAAAGACATTAATTTCCCCGTGCTCATTTTCTGCTTTAAGAAAAGGCACTTTTCTTATTCAGAATGGTCTATATAATGGCAAAGATTTACATAATACCAACTTTACAGTTAAAGCTTATTTAATAAAGTGTAATGAGACCAGCAGTTGGTGTAATGGCTATGTCGCTGGACTCCCATGTAGCTGACCACGGTTTGAGTCCCGGACTCAGTGGCTTAAATTCATGCCGGGCACGTGTGCGTGCGCCCAAGATGCCGAGAGGAGAATGGAGGAGAAGGGATTGTGGCGTGGCCATCTCCCCTGGGGGATGGTTTCTCGCTTTCTGTTTCTCTGTCTCTTTCTGGTGAGCGCACATGCCTTACAGCGAAAACCTCTCCCCTCAAAAAAATTAATAAGTGTAATCAAAACTCGTGACAACAAAGACATTTCTTTTTATTTTCATGAGACATTTAACCAACATATACTGATGGCTTGCCTCTACAGGCACTTCTCAGCCAAAATCTATGCAAAGAGCCACTTGGTAGTCAATGAGAGTAAACCGTTTAATAGTATTACAATGAGATTCAAAAGGGCGTGCCTTTGCTTTGGGAGAATGAAAGCTTTTGTGTAGAAAGATTGTAAACCCGGTTGTTTCTAGGTAAAAGTTGTTTATCACGTTTAGCAAAGCAGGGTAGGAAGCTGTAGCCTAGACCAAGGTATAGGCAGAAATGCTGCATGTTCAAGGACAAGTGACATTCGAGGAGCTTACGGTGCACTGGGCAGGTATGCAGGAGAGCAAAGATGGGCCCAACTGTGAAGAGCTAGCTATGAGAAAAGTAGCTCGGCGTCAGCAGTTTCAGAAACGGGAGATTAAATATCATGAAGATGAAAACAGGCCAGTGAATTTTACAATACAATATACAATCGTATACTTAGAAAAAATTTCAATAGCAGGAGAACAGAAGTCACACAAAAATGCGTAGATGTGACTTTTTGAGATTCCAGTTAATAAGGAAGGAGAGTCACCTATGTGGGAAGAAGGGAAATAAGTGGCATCCTAAATCTGGCCCTGATAGGAGTGTTTTGTCTGTTTTTTTTTGTTTTTTGTAGATTTAATTTTACTCCTTTTTAAAACTTTTAAATTTAACAAGAAAGCCACCAGGTCCAAGACTCGAACCACAGCCATGTGGGAACCCAGCACCTTAACCACTAGGCCACAGGCCACCTTCCGCCCTTGATGGGCGCATTTTATTTGTACTAAAACTATGAACATATAGTTAGTATGTTTAAGTCAGTCTAATAACAAGAAGAGTAAGCTTTGGCAAAAGTTCTCTGTCCCAAAATGAATAGATCTATCTCCATACATAGGGGATTCATCCTATTTGACTTCCTTCCCCACCATCTTACTCTGAACCAGCCCTTGGACAAGACCGAGTTAGGAAAACGGCAGCAATGAAGCGCAGCTCCTCAGCTGCTTGTTAGGCAGACGCCCACGGAGCGTGCGGGAAAGCTAGAGGTCAGCGCCTCTTCCCGCGGAGCCCTGACTCGGCGGATCTGCCAGCTGGAGGCCTCTGCCCAGCAAGGAAGCCGAGGGCCTGGGCAGCGCTGTCGGTGCGCGAGAGCGGCCAGGACTGCACCGCGGCGTTAGCGGAAAGTGGCCGGGACGTTGCTGACGCCTTTCCCCGCAGCCGCCGTCGGGCTCAGCGCACGGTTCCCTC